GAATGAAGGTAGCAGCAATGACATTGCGTTCCTTGGCTATGAGCTCCACTTTGAGCTGACAGCCATCATCCACGATGAACGAGGGGTAGTTGTGCTGATTGTTGTTGTTGTTGTTGTTGTTACTGCTACCAGTCTGGAAGTGGAACTGATACACAACAAGTATGAAAGATGTCATGTGCTCAAATACTCCCAGTAACAACACATACGTGAGTTCAAATTGTGGTCTTCAGGGTTGTGACACTGAGCAATCTTGTCAGTGGTTACAAATGTTTTGGAGGTGCATACTGTCACCATTTTCAGGTAGAATTTCCACCCTCTAAACATCACCACCTACAAGACTACACAGGATCATAACCCAAAGACCACAATATGAACTGTCAGCATCACCAAATGCTGTATAAAGGCTGATACACAGTACAATGAAATATTTTGAGAAGCTATCAGTGGATGCAGCAGAATTCGGTCCAGCTTTGTGGCTGAGATATGCTGACAGTCCATTTGTGGTTTGGCCACACAGACCAGAAAGATAATAGGAATTGCTCTACTACATCAGCAATCTCATACATAACAAACAATTCACTATAAAAGTGTAAACTAATAATATTCTTCCTTTACTAGAAGTCTTGATCAAAAAAAGCAGCTCAAATTTATCCAAAAAGGTGTATGGGAAACATATGCAAACAATATGTTGATTGCATTTAAACTCTAAGCACCCCTAGCATGTAAAAGGGGAGCTGCTTCAAGGCTGGTGAACAGATCCTAAGTCACATGCCATGAACAGAAAGATTTCAGTAGAGAAGTCAAGAACACAGAACATGACCAGATGCTAAATGGATACCCACAGCATTTCGTTAAATACGTCATCACAGAGAACTACCACGATGCACAGTGATGCATGGTAATGCAGTTAATGGATGTCAAACAAGAAAAGAGTACTTACAAATATATGTTAAACTACTGTCAAGCATTAAGACAGTAATATGGATACAGTTCTTCATTATAAAACTGATCATGTCAACTAGCTAATAGGTGGAAGCAAAGGAAAGGATATAACTGAAGAAAGACATTTTACATGTGCAGTAATAAATACATATCTTATATTAGATAAGTAAAATAAGTAAAGACAAAATACACATCTCTTTGATTTCACACGTTTCAAATTTCTGGATTTCCCCATATTCCTTCCTCTGCCACTACTTAATTACAAGATGACTACGAACACTTCCTTCTTTAAGAATGAAGTATTCATTTAGAAACATCAGTCTTTAGTGACTGAAAAGAAACGTTTCTGGCCATGTCTAGCTTCAGAATTACCAGTTGCTATGAACACAGCCTAGCAGAAAATGTTGTTGGTAAGTTAAGCTGTGCACTCACTTTTGTGGAAGGGCACAACCGGAATGTGATGAGTCTCTTTGGTATGAACTTGAGCAGGAACTCCTTCACAGTCAGCTGTTTTGGTGAAACATAACAAAACACCTTCCTTGGCTTGGACAGTCGTTCACCCTGGATGCTCACCAGCCTTGCCTCATAGCATATGTTGTGGTTCTTTGAAGCAACATTCTTTTGAACTAGTGCAGCATCACTTGCTGTCAACAAACAATCCATGTTACACACGGAAATGGAATTAGATAAAGATATTTATAGGAGATGTTGTGGAAAAGGTGTCGTGTGAATGGACAGAATAAAAGGAGCAGCTCTGAATGTAAGAACACCAGAGAAGACCCACTGGGAGATACCAGGAACAGATTCGAGGCAAATACAAAAAGAGAGGCGTGGAAACAACTGTGCAGTGATGACATGTAAAGTAAAAATGTCAACAAATGATGACAATGACAATTATGTATGCAAATCTACCAGGGGCGACTAAACTCAAATATGTGAAAAGTGAACACTTATCCAAGTCTGTTAGAAAACACACGTGGACTGGAATATCCCTTACAATGTTACTTACACTTACCACTGAGTACAATGATATCAAAGTCTCCATTATGCAGCTCAATGCCCCTGTAGGAGACAGTAGCATGAAAACATCCTTCTGAGGGAAACTGTACCTGAAGACTGATGTGATGGCTGGTCTCCTCATAACTGAGCATCACTGAGCACTGCACAGGGTCAGGGCAGCCAATCTGTGAAATGAGGTCCTGTCCATCAATGGTGCAGCAGATGTGACATAATCATGTTGGACATAAAATATCTTAACTAGGGTTAACAGACAACTACATCTACAATTCAACATCATCATCAACATTCCATAACCAGTGTCATAAAAAAGGGGGCTGGCAACCTTGGTAAGGTCACATGAAGAAAATATGCTGAGTTTTTTGCAGGTGAAACAAGATTCAAAAAGACAAACCCCAATTTGAAACACACGTCTTATAAATATGTTTCTCTAAGTTCTGAACACCTGTAGTCCCACTATACACTATACACGTTTGGGGGGGATAGAAGGTATAGCTCCTTCTCATTCTTTACATCAGCACTAGATGGGGGTGAGTGGTCAGCATCATGCCCCGGCCGCGCTTCACCCCTGGTAAAGGACCAAAGTACATATTGGATAGGAGGCTGGGTGGGCCCCCAGAGCAGGGCTGGATGCAGAGGCTAGAGGAAAAATCGTCTGCCCCCATTGGGGATCAAACCCCAGTCGTCCAGTCTGCAGCCAGTCACTATACTAATTGAGCTACACCAGCTCATTAATTATGGTCAAAAACAGATAAAAATAAAAAGCACTTTATATGAAGACCAATACATTTCCTATGCTCTGAAGGGACCAGGTAGGGAATTCTTGCATGGTGAATTCCAATGCCACTCACAATGGTAATAGTGCAAATTACGGAAAATAGGCCAGAACTATTATGCTATGTACACATTTCCTGACTTGTTTCTCTAGTATCTGACATATGCAGAATATCTGATCAGTATTTGTTCCATTATGAAAATTGGTTTTCAACAGAATCAGTTCCAAACCTCTGCTTTAAAAGAGTAAGAAACAGTTCTACATGGTGAAGCAGCCACATGAAGGCATTAAATGTTACTTATTTTTGATAAACTGTTACCTGAGTGACGGCCACATTGTACCCGTCTGTCGGATTTTCATCGGGGCGAAACAAACAGAGGTTATTAAACTCATCTCGAGGCTCAATAGCAAGTGAGTGAGGAATTCCTGCAGTGCAAACCACTGTTGAGCTGTGACGCACAAACACGGACTTGTTAGGGTCTGGAGGTCCTACAGGGACAAAAGAGAACACGTATTGTTTTGATTAACAACAAGAGATCATGCTGGGTCACTTTAACACTGTTTTTTTTAATGTTCTTGCAAACATTCTAGGTTCCACACAACATTTGTAATGTTGCCAACCACATCAGCTAATGCATACTAACTAACTCTAACGAGCATAGCACTTCATCAGAAGATAATAGTATACTCAGCTACTCATGAAATTTCCTGCATTTTATGGAACCCAATGGATCATTAAACTCTTCACAAGCACCTGCCCCTGGTCCCTATCCTGAGCCAGATGAATCCATTCAATACCACCCCATATTATTTCATACTATGGAGCTCCCTATTATAAAGTTTTCTCCAACCTTCTGTCAGTTCGCCTCTCCTGGAAGCACCACCCTGTTCTCAAACACCCTCAATCTGTGTTCTTCCTTTAATGTAAGAGACCAGTTTTCATATCTATATAACAAGAGGTAAAATTATATTTTTGTGTACTTTAATCATGTGGAACTGGGTTTGCTCAGTCAGTACAGTGAGTGGCTGTGGACTGGATGACCGAGGTTAGATCCCCAACAAAGGCAGAGAATTTTTCCTAGAGCCCCTGCGTCCAGGCCGGCTCTGGAGCCCACCCAGCCTCCTATCGAATGGGTACAGGGGTCCTTTCCTGGGGGTAAAGCATGGCCAGGGTTTGACGCTGACCACTCACACCCATCCAGTGCCGAGGTTAAGAATGAGAAGGAGCTATACATCCTCTCCCCCTCAAGCGCCTACATGGAGTGTAGAGGGATGGCTTTACTTTACTTTTTGTACTTTAATCCTTGCATTTTCAGACAGCAGACAGGACAACAGAAGATTTCAAACTGCATGGTGGCAAGCATATCCCATTATTAGTCTGCTCTTAATTTCCTTGTGAATGCAATCCTGATTTGTTAATGTCATTCCCAAAAATTTTCAAAATTTACCACATTTTCAAAGGATTTACTAGCTACCCTTATATAATGATTCTATCCAATAAAGCATTCACTCTAACAGTTAGTGAAACAATATTAGAATAGCTTCATCATTACAAAACACTAGATTTACTGACAAAACTCTTATTTAACACTCTAGCATATCTGAAATACATGTCAATTGTAACAATTAGTTTGGAATGATCCAACATCATACATACATCTGTACTACATTCTATGGATCCGTAAGTTAACCAGGTAACAATAGCACGTGGAATAAGTCATAATAATACATTACATATACACAAATGCAATTCATACTATTATATAGATTTCACATAATTTAAGCAAAGGGTTCGCATAAAGTAGTGAAATGTTACAAATAAATCCACCCATTACATTCAGCAGATAAATTATAATAATTTATATTACATGAAGACAAGTGAAAGAGAGGGGATGAAGGCCAATGAAGCCTCCCATCCACTCTCTCAAATGACACAGGAAGAATGTGAAACAGCGTTGCCAGGACAAAGCTGGCCACTAGGCCACTACACTGTCCTTTTCACCCCTCGGTAGTCCTTATTTCCACTCTCTTTGTTCCTCCTCATCACATCCACCCACCTCCCTTACATGACTGGTGATTCACACACTGAAGCCCAAGGGGCCCTTAAAAGGGCCAATTTCTCAGACCTCTCTCTCTTTCATGTCCTTTCCCCTCCTGCTGGCTCCCAGACCCTTGCTGATTCTGATGCTATTCCCCACTGGTCAGGCCAAGGCTCTGCCATAACTGACATATTCCTGTACCTCCCATGAATTCCAAGTGTGTGGCTTACTCATCACCCTGATGATGGAGGCAGCAAAGACCTCTGAAACGTTTGTAAACTTCTACCAGACTACATGGTGCTACAACCCAGAACAGCCATCTTTGTACCCCAAATCCTACTTATTAATAATTACCTGGAAGGAAAGTCTTGACGAATGGGCTTCCATGAACATGGCAACTGCCAATAAGCACAGATATCTTGTACATCCCTGCATGTCGCACAGTGAACTTGACAACTGCAACATTGGCAGCACTGGGATCAGTGCCTCCAAGTTCGGAGAGGGTAGCAACTCTCCGTGCACCTTCTGTCACTTCCACAAAAAGGTTGTCTGTGTCACAGATTGGATATGGTTGTCCATTACGTTGGTAGAACTGAAATGGATAAACAACACTTATGTTAAAAACAAACATCTGACATGCATACGAAAAGAAATAATGTGTAAAAGAATCAGTAAGAAAAGTATTTGTCTCGTTACCCTCAAACAAGGACTGCAAACAGCATAAACAAGCCTGTGTTATATACATGTACTCACGAAATATAATTTTGCGTTACACGGTATGAAGGGACACGATGGTCTATTGTTTCTGTGCTGAAGGTTCAAGATTCAAGATCAGTCACATCCAGTGTGGATTTTCCTGCAAGTCTTTCTCTATTCTCACCTTTCACAGAACGTAAAAATTTGTGAATGCGAGAATATCAAATTCCAGGCCCATAGAGAGACACAGTTCCTCTCTGCCGGCAATCTTCTTTATCTTCCAACAAACTCTACATCAAAAGTGGCCCAAAACTCTCAAATGGACTCCACCACTTGTAAGGCAAGCAGAGGTCAAGCAGGTCAAACAGACTAACTGGAAGCATCAGTCAGAATAGCACACAAACCAGGACTACTCGGCAGTAAAGATTCTGGCTGTGCACTGCATGACCTGGGATCTATTCAACGAGTAGCAGGAATTTTCTCTCTATATCCAGACATGCTCTGGGGGATTCTAAGCATACTTCTGTCCACAGAAAGGCCCTGCGGGGGGAAGTCGTTTCTGGTGCGGTGCGGGGGGAATGTTACTTATCAGCTGGCTGCTATTGGTGGAAAGTGTGACATGCCAGAGAGTTACACTACTACACACAGACTGAAAACATCAAGCAGTTAAGAGTAGGGTGTAGTGAGCGCACTTGTAATGTGTTCTGTGGGTGTTGTGATAATATTCTAGATTAAATCACTGTGCGACTGTGAGGTAATCTTAAAGCTGTACCCATTAGAACACATGAAAGCATGTGGTCTGTTGTTCGTTCAGTGGTTGTGGAACGAATGCTTTTAGGGTGGAAAGTCACTCACAGCGAAATCTTGCGCATGCGCATGTATCGCATTCCTAGCAGGGATTTTCTCCTGGTCTGTGGACTGTACTCAATGACTACTGGGAGCTCTTTCCACATGGCCAACACAAACACTGTAAGATGCTGAAGCCTACAACACATGAATAATTATTTCTATATGTGTTATGTGCACGTGTACATGCGCACACACACACACATGCTGAACTGCTATATTTACTGAGTGTCTTGTTTTTTATGTTCTCAAATGTCAAAACTGGTTTTTAAATAGAGACCTGAGGCAGATGACACATCAAACAAAATCCTATTCACCAGCCTTTCAAAATAACTCCTATATTGAAGACAGCCACCTTTGGACTCACTGCAGTGAAAACCTCAGATCCTATTTGGCGAGCCATTTCAGTTTTAATTTAAATCAGAGCATAAATACACAATGTTTTCAAAGAAGGTCATTATACATAAAAAGAAATACTTAATTTGTTTCAGAGTATCACAGTTAAGAAAAATATCAAAGAAAGTCCTTACTGGATTCAGATTGTACTGAAAGTAGATTTATTTCAATCTGTTAATTCTGTTATCTATTAGAATATGACTTTAAAGCATGTATTAGTCATATAATATTATTTTTTTAGTGTGTGTAGTATCAGTAATGGTATACAGTTTAGACTTGTTGCTGTAAATATAATTCCATTGTAATCTGAAAACCGTGAACAGCAGCATGACAATTCAAATTCCTCGTTCCACTCTAACCTGTACAACGTTGTTGTTACTTGTCTACCTTCTCCAGTCCCAGAGATATGACTTAAAAAGAAATCTGTAATTGCATACACACACAGCAGCATTCTATAAATAATATGAAAATTACACTTTTCACTGGGAAAATGGTACAAAAAGGTGCTATACCTTGACAGTGAAAGTCATGGTCTCACCCACAGTCTGCGGATCCTCCCATTCAAAGTTAACCTTGCAGTTTCCAGGCAGCAGGTACTTCCCCGTCACATACTGCAGCAGAGTGTGCTTTGCCTCGGGAGCGAGCGCGGGCTGAGTCATCGCGGCCAGGGTGACAAGACCAGCCACGCTCACAGACACGACCAGCATGCCTCCTGCAATGGGGAATGTGCAACGATCAGGTCATCTCTGACTATTCTCGACAGCAACGACCACTACAAAGTCTCAGTCACTGTGTGTGAATGAATAAGTGAGCAAGTCCTCTGAGAATGAAATATCTACTTAATTTCTCCGTCTTCTATGTCTGCCGCGAGGCCTTAGTCTAGCAAGCACTTCATTCTTTCTCCCCTACTATAATACAGTAAATCCTCAATTTAATGGACTAACAGGGGGAACGGGGTGTCCAGTGCTTCTATAATGCCAGTAACACATTCTTAGATCACAATTTCCATTAGGAACAGTATTAAACAGATTAGTAATATGAAATGTACACCAAAAATGACACAAGGTTCATTAAAACACTACAGCGTAAAGAGTTAAATAAGTGCACAAAGAATGCAAATTAACTTCACTGCCTGTCATAGTGATAAAAGAGTTTGTTGCTGTAATGTGTAGTGAAGACTAAGAATATATATGTAACTTTTATTCTGAATGTGAGGAGGAGCTTCTATGCTCCCATGGCCTGCTACTGTTTGAGAATCCAAAGTTAATTTTTCACTACAAGCTGCAATTACATTCAGATCCCTATAACTGATGTTGTTTCTATGCAACAGAAGTCTTCAGTTTCATTTACCCTGATAATTTGATAATGCAAATAAGGCTTTTTGCAAGATGAATGTTTTATTTAGTCGTTATAAGCCACGTTTTTGTATTTTTAAATGTTCAAATACAATGTTTCACCATTTATTTTTTCTGTATTACATTTCATACTTGTGTGTTAATGCTGATGTAATTTTGTGGGAACCACGAAGCATTTCCTAAAGTTTGGTAGCACAATATACGCTCTTTAAAAGGCATACTGGAATCACCAACACACGTAAATCCAAACTGTATGAAGCCATCATTTTTTATGTTTACTAGAGCAGGGCGCTCCTTTCGGAGCTCCTGGGGGGGGGGGGGGTGTCTTCTCCATTAAACCACCTTACATGACTGGTAGCCCGAGAAGAATTCATTAAACTTTACTTTCTGCCTTCATGTAAAATATTAAATCAGAAGCATGAAAAATCAACTTTCAGGCCCCTAGATCTAGACGAACGAGATACTGGAATTTGCATTTTGAGGTTGTTAGGTTACATGACCTGTGGAGGCAAGAAGAGAGAATAATTGCCTCTTGAGTGGTGATGTGTATTGTTTGGTAGGTAAGTTCTTGCTCTTGAAAAAGTTTGATATGCCACATAAAGATTATTGCTTCGAAGTGATAAATTAAAATAGTGATTTTGAGGTACAAGATTATAAGGGTGCTGTGGTCCTCTTTGCATGTGTCAAAAGAATAAATGTTTCAGATTATTTCCATTTCAATGAGGAATGTGAAAATGTGACTGTGTTGTCTTTCATGAAGAGAGTGTTTTTGTTTTATGCTACTGAGATTCTTCTTGGCATCTTGGTCTTCGTATTTAATCTTTATTACCGTGGTATACACGTGTAGTTGAATTGTTTTCCTGATATTGTGCCTTAAGTCCCTTGTGTGATGTGCCGATGTCATTTGGTTCCTTGTTACATGTGATTTAAATGTTTATTCTTGTTACTTGTTACTCAAGACGTGCTAATATATACAGCTGGTAGTTCTGGTTGTCTAGTTTAGTTCTCTGGATACAAACTAGTTCCGTCTATAGGTACAGAGATGGTCGTTCATACTTGGTTGTTACCATGAAGTAAGTTTTTGTGTAGGTTTAGTTTTTAGGGAGGACCAAACAACACACAATTCAGGTGTTGCCGGGATCTGCACATTTTAAACTGGCCGAGGACTTCCAGGATCATATATGCTCTAACGCTAGGCTAATGTTACGTATTGTTATGGTGATTTATTGTTATCCGGCTTTCATTACAATTTGTACGCTAATGGTAACGTAACTTATATTTGTAAAGTAGAGGCCAACAGTTCTTGGTTAGTCCACTATCTACGTCTAACCCCACCCTTACAAATCTTTTTTTTTTTCTCTTCTGTTTTTTGTTGAATAGTTTTGATGTTTTAGTTCTTTACGTCGCTTTTCAGAGGCCAACTGTTCTTGGTTAGTCAACTATCTACTTCCGATCCCACCCTTGCAAATCTTCGTCTGTTTATCGTGTGAAGTTAATATGGTCTAGTTTAACAATGTAAGTCTTCTTTCGCTTATCCTTATTTGTTAAATAGATCTGATGTCTTAGTTCTTTACATCGATGTTCAGAGGCCAACTGTTTTTGGTCAGACAACTTTCTACTCTTGCAAGTCTTCGTTTGTTTTCTTCTGCTCTTGTTCAATAAGTTTTTCGCTTTTCTTCTTTTGTTAAATATGTCTGATGTTGTAGTTCTTTACGTCGATGTTCAGAGGCCAACTGTTTTTAGTCAGACAACTTTCTACGTCCAATCCCACCCTTGCAAATCTTCGTCTTAAAATCGACCATAAAGTCAGTTTTTATAATAGTTTTCATAATCGTAATATATCGAATGAGTATCAGTTTACCTTGTAGGAGTTGTTAGAGTTGGTACTTCAAATACTTGATAAATTCTTCTTTCACGTTCCTGATGTTTTAGGCCAACTGTCAGTCAATATTCAAGAATGCTAAGTGCTCCTTCTGGAGCAGTGATAATGCGACTGGTTTGATATTTTTTGATTTTTTTGTTGTGAAGCTTTATATTTGTTTACTCGGCATTGTTGTGTTCCGCAACAATGCAGTGTAAACAAATATCTGTTGAAATTGCTGATGACGTCATTTTTTGACGACAAATTGGTTGAAGACAACGACTAATCACAAATTTTTATAGTAAGAAGATATCGCAACTTTTCTTTGACCCTGAAGTATTTGTATCATCATCTGTTTTACTGTTATCATGAAAATGATCTTCATTTGCATTCTCTTTAAACTTAGTATTCTCTCACATGACCATCAAGACCATTTTTATTGAGCACTAGAGCTCTCCAGCAAATAAGAAAAATACCACCGTAATCTCTTCCCTTTGTACCTGTTCCACTGTGTAGTTTTTTTAAAAACAAATCTACTAATATTACAATTATCTTACATACTTTATGAAAAGTATGTGTATACACTTGAGCTGTTTTTCCATTCAGTGAATCTATTCCACCCATATGAAGGGAAGAAAGAAGTGACAGAGAAGTAACAAAATGTAAGTTTCAAAAGAGGCTGTACAGCATCACAATTCATGCTGTATCAACACCACACAATCACTGTACAGAATTTCAAACATTCCCTGTAAACAACACGGGTCTCACCCCATGTCCACGCGTCCTCGTGCTGTGTGGACTTGACCACGGCGCTCCATAGCTCTCCTTTCAACTGGGCCAAATCGTCTTTGGATGTCGGCAAGGCCTGGCGTGCAGCAGCCCATGTCAGAAAGTCTTTGCCAAGCAGCGAGCGTGCTCTTGAGTCTTCCAGCCAGTACACATCATCCAGTGACGCCACTTCCAGCTGGATCAACCTACACAGGAATATTATCAACTTCTTAGGTTCAATTTACTTTTCCTTCAAGGTTATAATACTTCAATAATACGTATTCTATTATACATATGTATAGACATACACAACACGGTTAAATGAATTGCATCTGCCCCTTCCTCTTTATGATCTCAAAATAAGAAACAAAACTAATTACGAAAGTGTGCATCAAGGAAACTTGTTTGCATCCGGACCGCGCCTAAAGGCAGAATCAGTCATGTGTCACCCACCTCTGGTAGTGATGCTGTAGTCCGTGCTGGCCCAGCCACTGCCGGAGGATCAGACGCTGCTGCAGAAGATGTGATGCCCTCTGGAGGCGCTCTTCATCGTGAGCTGGCAGTTCTGGCAGATCGTCAAGCTGGGCGCAGTTCACCAGACTTGAGATTCCTGCAACACATCACGGCCATTAACAGACTCAGCTCACGCGTGGCCGTGGAGTCGACAGACAACTGGAGCGGCTGCCTGAAATGGCATTCGATGCCACTGACGCACGGACAGGTTTCGACGTCTTACAGTTTACGTTAGCTGTGGAGCTCTCAGAGACTCAGCTGTGCCCAGTGCTCGTCCAAGAGGGCGATATCTTTTCTTTTAACTGTGGAGCTCTCAGAGACTCAGCTGTGTCCAGTGCTCGTCCAAGAGGGCGATATCATTATTTTTTTAAAAAAACTGCAGTGCTCGACATTGTTTAAAGTTTTACGTTCATTTCGAAAACAAAACTAAAAGCAAGCTACTACTTTATGTCTGTCCGTGAGTTTACTGTACAGGACAATTGTGAAGTTAAACCACGTATTAATATTATGTTTCTGTTTGGTCTTGTCTAACTTACTGGGCAACATTTGTTAACCTGAAAAAAGTGTCGAATAGAAGCCGTAGGGATCCAAAGACAGGCATTTGATTCGCGCAGTCTTTACGCAGACACTCAGTTACTTCCAGGAAATCGCAAATGCAACAACATACTTTTGTTAGTATGCGCCATCGAAAGCGTTGTCAAACCTTCTGCCATTGCCCGCTCGGTTAGCAACGTTCAGCGACATCTGAGCCACCGACAGCTTCGTTAAACACGCCATAAATATACACTGCATTTGCGTAAGGTACAGGCTTACTTAAAAACCAGCAGGAAACAGTGCTCTTTTGTACTTGTCTAAAGTAAAATGATGACGAGGTCACGTGTGCTTCGATTTGGGCTTCTCGAGAAGTATGGGTTGTACCCAAACAGACCGGGATAAAATTCGTAAAACCACTCTCAGGGCAAAATTTAATCGAAATCGGTTGAGTAGTTTCGCGCATAATGTAACGATCAGAATCCCCCCCCCCCCATACATACTCATTTATGCACTTTGTACGAAAAGGATAATACAGCTCACATATCCCCTTGCTCTCCTCAGGTAAACTTTTGTTCTGTTCGCGTTTGTGCCTCGTGTTTATGTCCCAACTACTGCACCATTTTCATTTCTGACATCTGCAAGCATTCGTAAAATGCCAACTTATCTCCGATTGTCAACATCAGGACATCGATTATTTATGAAAAAGCAAAACAGTGTCAGATCTGACGTTCTCGCGGCAAAGAGTCTGAAGATGGCTGTCTTCTGGGTTGCAGTGCGGCAGAACCTACACGGCGCCACAACCCAGAAGACAGCCATCTTCGATGTGGCATGTCTCACCGCGTAACACACACCCATTTGCTCGCATACAAGACAGGAAAAGGGACACGTCTTAAGTATTGACCATTCCAAACGCTATGCCGCGTTAGAAAACAGTGCCCCAGTGAGACAAATTAAAAGCACAAAAAGTCCTTCAGACTCTCAGACGCATGCTCCTCTGTTCGGCGTCGTCGCAATGCCTGCAATGTTCAGTTGCCTCCCGCAACGGGGACACGCCTACTGTTTCTATGTGGGACAAAACTTTTCCTAGAGCCACGCCCCTCCCACCCTGCGGTGCGTGCCACATGAGGGCTTGCGGTGTCATTCCAGCCGCACGGTCGATGGATCGAATCTCATGGACTGCTCTACTTTGCTTCCTCGTGATATCCCTCGCGTGTAATTTATTTATCCACCGCCAACAGCAAAGCGAAGGATGGCAGAGTTATGAGGTGCAGAAGCACTCAGTTTAAAAAAAAGTACTTAGCACGGCGAACAACAGAACAGGGACAAATTGTTTACTTGGATGTATTGTTAATGTTTCGATTGTCTGTTGTTAACGAACCAGAACAATGGTTCTGATTAGTTAACAACAGACATTACAAGTCAAACATCTTAACTATGTCATTTGTGAGCCGTGTAGATCAGTCAATATAATGACTGACTATGGGTTCGATCCCCAACGAAGGCAAAGGATTTTTCCTCTGGCCTCTGCATCCAGACCGGTTCTGAGGTTCACCCAGCCTCCTCTACAATGGCTACCGGGGTCCTTTCCCGGGGCGTGACGCTGACCACTCACCCCCATCTAGTGCCGAGGTCAAGAATGAGTAGGAGATGTAACTGTCTCCCCCCCCCCCCAAGCGACCTACATGGCACGCAGCGGGACAGATGTTTTTGATGTTATCTGTTTCACTGTTCCACATTGACGGAGAGCAACGGCAGAGATTTTGGGGGTACAGTAAAACTCGACTACTTCCTGACAATTATATTATATTTATTATTTGAATCACGACACAGAAGTATGGACTTCTAAACCTCAAGAGGCAGTTTCGATATGGAAAATGCAATTAAATTTAAGAATACCAAAGGACTGTTCAAAAACACTCATACCCGTGGCTGGAATCGTAAAATTTCTTTCAGTCAACACTCCTTCAAAACTACTCGTATGCGACAGCAACAGATCTCCGGGATACGTACGTGGCTAAGTGAGATATAACTTGGTTTTAACTCTCACTGTTTTAGTTTGTACTGACGAGGTTAAAGTAACTTTTCTGCGTCTTTTATTTACCCAGAAAATGACAGCTCTGGGAGAATCGCGCGTCTGCTTTTCATGAACTGATGCGACGTCTTCAATATCATATTTTGTGAACTTACAACCCCCAAAGCGTTGCTTCTTCTTACAAAAACTGACTTCACATAACTGATCATCATTTGAAGGACGCCGCTACTACAATGCAAAAACTTGTCTTTTTCCACGGGCATCAAACTGAAAAAGAGTTCTTGACATTTGAACAACTTGAAAGCAGACGTGGGACAAAATGTAAAGAACAGAAGAGCCTCGAGTCGCGGTCTCATATTTCCTGTGTGATAATTAAATCAGTTAAAAGCACGTGAACGTATGCATTAATCATATGCAAATAAATACATCAATGGGGAATATTAGTTGTTGCGTTAATTAAATTTAAGTACCGGTGCATTATTGTAAAATAAAACAATTAATTCTGAAAGAGCGTCCCCTGGGTCAGAGAAAAAATTATTTCCGGGGGTCGCACGCGGCCCGTGGGCAGCAGTTTGTCTAGGCCCATCACACACGAAGGTCCTTTCCATTATCCGAAACTAAGAAGGCGCAAAGCCGCGGAGAGAAGCGACAAGAGGTCTGTGCACGCTCAGGTATAAATAGACGTCATAATACGTTAGTCTATAAATTATCATATACATCCCCACCAACAAAATTCATTAGGCAATAATTTAAAAGAGCTGTTGTATTGTTAAGGCAAAAATCCCTCGCGATGTGGATCAGTTGGTTAGGTTAAGTTAGACTTGAAATTTTCCGAACGTGTACCACGCACACACCAACAGGGTTCAGGAATTGCAGCACACAGAGACGTTTCGGCACAGGGTTCACGTCAAGAACACGCCATATAAACACCGAAACGCGACGCGACAATGCGGAGACTCTTACCAGAGGAATGCAATGTCATCCCTGGGCTGCACATGTTCTATGGTCCTGCTAAATACACTTCATGATGGCGTCACCGCGAACTACACGCCGAAGGACCGACACAGCACCTTTCAACCCCAACAACTACGCATTTACACACGTAACACGCAACTTTTAAACTTTGGTACATACAATGGCCCCCCCCCCCAAAAACCCCATGACGTTGCTACGGACCAAATGGGGCACCAATCTGCGCAGAAGCATAAGAGGGCGGACCATACGAATCTATCGATTGATGTGCCCCAGGTTCTCAACAATTCACGTCCTGTGAGTTGCATTTGTCCCCGTCATCCAAGTGGGCACAAAAACAGAAGCTCAGCGCTGCAGAACCCCGAACAAGAGGCCCGTTTGCCCACAAAATAAGCTGCCGGCTGCAATTATAAATTCACTTGTGATCAAAAGGTGTAATTAAATGCACGACGTGGCATAAGGCGAAATAAACAGTCCTCTCCGCGCATGTTCACTTTGTATAAAGAAAATTGTTTTCAAAAAATTCTAATGCGTTCTAGATTTTTCTCTTTCTAACATCCTTGATTTGTAAGAGCTCGACCTTGAGGTGACGTTGACCTATCCATGACCTCAAACTGACATGATTATGTTCATTCACCTTCATGCAGATCGGCAGATACATGCGTTTGAAAAATTATTGACGAATGACCTTGAAAATTTCAAAGGCCTCTATACGGCTAACCCTCGGACTGATGTTGTCGTGACCTTGACATGCCACTGACCTGTCTGTGACCTCAAACTGACATGAGTATTGTCACTCAAATTCCTACAGATTGGTAGATATATATGCCTTTGAGAAATTGACTTTCGAATGACCTTGAAAACTTAAAACGCCTCTAACAGGCTAACCCTCGGACTGATGTTGTCGTGACCTTGACATGAAACAGACATGTTCGTGTGCGCACACTAGTAGAATTCTTCGTGTTATATTGCCACTGCCATTGCTGTGCGGCCACCGCACCACATCGAACATGAAGAATGCTGCGGCAAGAAAACCGTAGCGGTGAAACTTTCGCACGTGCGCTCTCTTCCTACTGAAACAGTTCGTTCCATCAATGCGGCAGAAAAACCGCTGCGGCCCAAACCTCTCGTGCGCGCAGGGTTAAGCGTGTGGCCGCCGGCGGCTCACACGGTATAGAAATTGTTCTTAAGATTTTATATCGAGGTCCACAGCCCTGGTTAAGAACACCAGTGCAATGTCAGTGTACTAAAAAGAGAGTACACCCATCCCACTTTTCCCATTCCTCTGTTTTCTAGGACACACAAATGTAAAATTCAGTGGAAAATATTTTACATTCTGTTTACTTGAACTACAAAACAGTGGTACACAAGTAGCTGTTTAACGTAAATCTTAAACTTAAAATATATTAAAACTGGGACACTTGGAGCCACACACTGCGTATATTTCGATAACTGAGCGAGGTCATGCAGAGTATGGAAGCGAGCAGTATGCAGCCTGTGGGTCATCTGTTCGACATGCCTCGTTTACCTCGTAACTACATCTTTGGTTAAAAGTGGCTATTGTCCTAAAGTGAACTGCGGCAACAAAATGAACTAAAGATCAACACAGCATTCATAAGGCAAACAGGGTACAGTACAGTCAGACTCAAAAGTAAATAAAAATATATGCTGCCATTCATATAGATTATTCCAAATTTTGATCCAAAGGTTGAGGACAAAATTCATTTGAAACTTACCATACATTGCAAGTTCCTTTGATCCTAATGTGTGTTCACAGCTATGGTCTTGGTATAAATGCTGTCTCTCCGTCCACGTGATTTACCTCGAGAACCGTTGGATGGATTTGGATGAAATTTGGTACAAAGTTTATGTCATTTTGAACGACCCTAAAATCGCACTTTAGAAATTTCCTGCAATATTCTGGCACCGATAATAGCGCCACTTGTAATTTTTTTTTTATTTAGTGTTCTGTCTGACGACATGTCCATATGAACAGGATCCTTCCATCATTTTCTCGGTCTGGGACCTGTTCATATACGTTCTTGGCAGATGATCCAGCAGTGGTTTGCCATTGCCTTCTTCTGTGTGTGAATGGAGTAATTGTTGGGATGCCACGGAGAAACCGGGGAAGCCCCCAGAGGAAAACTCCGTGTTGCCTAGACCGCGGCCTTGCCCAACACAAGTTATAAATTCGGGCACCGCCGGGAATCGAACCCGAGACCCCAGGATTACAAGGCCAGCGTTCTAAAGGTAATGTAAGCTAATGTAATGTAACGTTTTATAGGTAACAACAATGCTGAGTAAACAGATGACGTTTCCTATGTAACAATAATGCCGAGTAAACACGACGTTCCCTAGGTAACCATTGTTATCGGATCTTTTTCGTTACACTTTTTCGTTTCCCTTTTTCCTTCCCTTCCACTATCCATTCTGTACTTATGTTTGTACTAGAAAAAAGTACTGTATTTGTGCTACAACCAATTCTACATCTTGGCTTAGGCCTATGAAAGATCTATGGAATGTAAATAAATTCTATTCTATTCTCAAAGCTGAGTTGTAGCAAATGCTCTAATGTGCATGTCCTTTTGAATGGACATTCAATAAAAATAAATACAGATCAATTCCATCTGCCTTACCTCGTTCCCTGAAGTAGATCTCATACTGCTGAAGATCATTCTCTTGAAGCCAGACATCTACTTCGGTTTTATCACCAAGTCTGGGGCTAATTTCAGCAAAAACGCAGAGAAGAAGTTTTGTAAGATAGATTGAACAAGCAAGCCCAAGTAATACTCCAACCACAAGCATTGGTCGGTGGCTTGATGCCATCTTGTCATCATTATCTACATAACTTCTTCAATTCAACAATATAACTTTGCCTTTTTCGCAATAACGATTGTTGACGGCAGTAATGTAACACAACAATGCCGAGTAAATAGAAGACATTTCCCAGAAAACATGACAATGCAGTTACACTTTTTCGTTTCCCTTTTTCGTAACACTTTTTTGCCGAATGACCCTTCCTTACGTCAAAAAATGATGACAACTGCTCCTTTCCCTTGAATATGGTAAGAATTGACCAAAAGACAAGCCTGTTCTCAGTGACAGATCCAGTATTCCATAAAAAAAACATGCTGAGCGTACAATTTCTAGGCATCTCTGACAGCGATATCTATTTTTACATGAAGTTCTGTAGGTCCTGATTAGATGTCATTAAGTCAAATAATATTATTTGTGAATGCTAATTTAAGAACTGAAGACTTATGAAGTCTGACAAATGAATAATCAAACTGCCGTCTCTGTCCACTTACTTGCAACACTGGTGCTTTGACACACCATATTACTATGTAATTCCATAATTTTGTGCAAAAGAGTCTACTGGGAAAAGCTTTTCCTACGGTTGCAGTAAATATCTCATTGGAGCAGTTTTGTACGTTAATTTGCAAAAAAACATTTTACACAAACTGTTAGATAATCAGCAATATATTATGCGTAAGTTTAATGACCCACTCTGAGCCGGGTAGCTCAGTCAGAACAGTGACTGACTGTGGACTAGATGGCCAGGGTTAGCTCCCTGACAGGGGCAGGGGATTTTTCCTCTAGCCACTGCAGTCATCATAGAGCAACAAGGTAGGAACAGTGCAAGCTGGAGGACAGATGTGTGCATAGGCATGGTTTGGCAGCACAATTGCTAGGAAATAATATGTAAACAATTTAGGATCTCATCAGAGTTACATCATGTCAGATGTACAAAAGAGATTCCTACAGTGAATACCTGCACTTATATGAACAGATGACATGATGTCAAATATCTAAATCTTCCAAATATTACAATGATGTGATGGTAGTTGAGGGCATAATATAATACATTCTTCTGTGCCTGACAGCTATCACCAAATGTGGTGACTACTTTCAAAAGCAGGAAAGGAGAGAACTCCTCTTCCATGTTAACATATGTATCACACAAACACGAAATAAACTGCAGTCACATCATCCCAAAGGAGGAAACTGCTAATTTCTCAATACTGTTGGAAAACCAGCCCATAACAACATAATTCAGTTACATGAAATTAAAGACGGTTACTTTCCTGTACATTTTGTTTAATTATGTGAAACTATATTTCCAGTCTGTTTTAAAGCAGATCAATTATACCATTTTAAGATATTTTGTATGTATACAATTAACTGCTTTTTGATAACCAACATTTTAATTATGGATACTACTATTTCTCTACTAGTCACACTAATGTAAATCTTCCACTATCCATTCTGTACTTATGTTTGTACTAGAAAAAAGTACTGTATTTGTGCTACAACCAATTCTACATCTTGGCTTAGGCCTATGAAAGATCTATGGAATGTAAATAAATTCTATTCTATTCTCAAAGCTGAGTTGTAGGAAATGCTCTAATGTGCATGTCCTTTTGAATGGACATTCAATAAAAATAAATACAGATCAATTCCATCTGCCTTACCTCGTTCCCTGAAGTAGATCTCATACTGCTGAAGATCATTCTCTTGAAGCCAGACATCTACTTCGGTTTTATCACCAAGTCTGGGGCTAATTTCAGCAAAAACGCAGAGAAGAAGTTTTGTAAGATAGATTGAACAAGCAAGCCCAAGTAATACTCCAACCACAAGCATTGGTCGGTGGCTTGATGCCATCTTGTCATCATTATCTACATAACTTCTTCAATTCAACAATATAACTTTGCTCTGAATGATAATATTCATTTAACAATTGCTAATCTCCACCTCTCTTTGATTATCCACGGTCCTACATTCAAATCATAAAATTCAATACTGAGATTGATTAACATAGCCAATTACTACTTAATACAAGACTGTTATTGCTAATGATACTACTTCACATCATGGAACTTGATTATCAATTTTAAATATATTAATAACACAACTTCAAAAAAGCCCGACACAATACTGTGAACCTGAGACAGCCATTACGATCACCCTGACATCTATTGGAAGATAAACGAAGTGCACATACCCGGGAAAATATAAACCGCAGATTATACAGAACTGTGGCTAAACCATGATTTCCGGTCCCACGATAACGCAATCCATAAAAAACTTTATAATTTCAAACGGTAAAACTGTTTCTTTAATCTGTCCACTCTGCGTTCATCAAGTACAATCTTCTTTCGACAATGGCATAATTACTGGCAATGCAAAATAAAGAAGCTGCTATTTTAAGCAACTTTGAATGGCAGTCAGCCTTACAGCTCTTTTAAAATATTTACCCCATTTATCACTAACTTACGCATTTTAATATAGTCATAGTTTCCAGCACTTTCAACAAGTCTTATATTAAAGAGTTAAAACATTTTACATCATCCACCATCATGTCAGTCTCTCTAGAATTTTCTGAGTAACTGTTGAGATTTACTGTTTGTATTGCATACATGGAGAAACAAGATCAGAAAATGTATTCCATACTGGAATACACGTAATATCATCACGCATTCTTTGCAACATGCATTTGGTGGTATTAAATCCGACTTCATCAAAAGTTCCCATTTATGTACGTTGTATACAGTTGTGAAGGGTGCTTGCTGGACAATCTACACCTACTAATTCTTTCTTTAATTCAAATTTTTGCTTCAAGAGCGACTAATTAATTAGAGATGGTTGTTTTCTGGGTTGTAGAGCTGTGTAGACTGATCGAAGTTCACCAACGCTCAGAGGTCATTGCTGCCTCCATCATCAGGATGATGAGGACCCCCAAGCACCTAGATGGGGTGTAGCGAGACAGCTTTACCTTTTACTGTGATACTTAAATCATCGCCCAAGTCAGTGGCTTGTCCGCCGAACTACGACAGGGATGGTGCTTAATACCTAAGATACAATTTTCAGTCAACCAGAATAACTGTACGGTTCAGATATCACGCCATCACTGTGCCTACCATTCAGTTGTGAATTAGTTCATCATAACATTGTTTATACACCACTTCGTTGGAAATTTTGAAATTTCTGAAAATTATGAAACGTTTGAAAACAAACAAACAATAGGAACTTTCATTTCGAAAAATTACAAGGTTTTCAAAATAAAGACTGTTTAAAAAGTTTCGAAAATTCATAATACCTTGGATATTAAAAAGATTTATTTACTCAGAAGTTGGAAATGCTTCAAATTTCGAAAATATTAAATATTAAAAAAAAATTAAAATTCTTAAAATTTCAAAATTATGAAAGTAATACATTTTTTATGCTTTTGAAGTTTCTAAATTTGGGAAATTTTAAGACATTTGAGTGCCCTACATAAACGAGAGGAGCAGGGGGTAGGTCATGTAAATCAATGAAGCTACAAGCAGTGCAAGGCTGGAGGTACACGTTGCTGATTTTGAACTGGAGAGACTTGAAGAACTGTGCTGCAATGGTTTCTAGTGGAACTGTACAGGAATGCACGCTGTCTAAAATGAAGATTGCAGTACCCCCATCTGCCCCGTTTCCAGCCAGGTGGTCATACCTCTTAAGAGGTCGTGTGAGCAGGATGGAGGTTAGTTTCTTGTAAACCACCAGATGCTGGAGCGCACTTTCTTTGTATTACATCAAGTTGAAAGATGGGTGTTGCGTAAACCATTTACATTCCACTGAATTTTGTCCATGATATATGCAGAATGGAACGTGTCTACTTTGATCTGCTATGTCTTTTTACTTTGCACATAGCCATTTACACCTGGTACAAGAAATTTGAATCACAACTGCCACAGCTTATGACACTTGGGACAGTGCACAAACTTTTGAACGAGTTGAATTATCATCACATCTGACATGCGACTCGTGGAGCACATATCGAATCTCTGTGAAATGTGTTCAAAACTTTGAGTTTTTCTACTGACTGGTGTAGGTGTGAAGTTTTAAGTATGCAGTATTTGTTTTTTGTATCATTTTCAAAGTGCACAGTTATTTTTCACTCACCCTGTACAACAGATGCTGCTTGCAGCAGGAACATTATTACAGTTTTGTTAAATAGAATTTCAGGTTTTCACGGTATTGAGTCCGAAGATGGCCGTCTTCTGGACTGAAGCACTGTACAGTGTGGTAAAAATCATGAATACAAATCATCACATCCCAAAGACCACAATGCAAATTTACATGTATTATCATTGCTTTCTGGCTTCTACCACCAGAATGTGGTTAAGTATAAGAATGCATTTCTTTATACACAAATTCCAATTGCAGTTGATATTTCCGGCACATTTTTATGAAGTTATTTTTAAGTAACAAGTGTATTGGTGTACTCTAAATAGCCTATTTATGACCAACTTACAAGCAATTTATTGTGATGTACATTACAATGCACTAAAATTCTTCACGGCATTACACTGGTTGAACATTTCATTCACAGAATTAGCCAAGAATTAAAAACAGAGGCTGTCACTGGCTGATTAATTTTGTACATCCTGCCTACTGTGATGCATTACAACCCCAACTCCAGCAACCACAAGAACTTAGACATTTAAATTAATTTTGTCAGCCAATGAACACGTTAGTCCCGTGCCATCAGGTTCCACATTAATGGACTTAACAACGCCATCTTCAACAACCATTGAATATCGCTTTGATCGAGTTCCGCCCAGTGGTGGCAAGTCAGTCGACAGATCTACAGCTTTTGTGAATGCAGCATTGGGATCAGCAAGCATTCGAATCTGAAACGAAGGGCGCACTTACATGAATTCATGTCTCAAATACTGATGTCTGTCATTTACAATGCACCATGCAGAAAGAAATTACATACTCGTACCTAAGACATCCTATCACATCCAAGTCGCCACCTACTGAAATAAAATATTTAATGACATTTCTATACAGGGGCTATGTCCACCTTCCACCCGGTTTCTGCAGACCACAACTCAAATATAACTACTCTGTTAGATCTATTCCCTACCACACATATTCTATCTAATTACTATAGTTTTACTCCTGTTCTATCCAATTCAGATGATAAATTCCTGATTTTATTCTCCCATTTACTTATGATTTTATAAATGTAAAATTGTGTATTTCTTAATTCTATAATATTTGTACAATTTATAATTTTTTTATAAGCTATCCCTTCATTAAGCATTAGCCATTTTCTACTCAAGAAACGTTCCCTCCATTTCCTCACTTCTGAACATTTTAATTATATGAAGCATATAGACCTAGACATAGATGGGAGGATAATGTCAGGCAGGATCTATGGGAGATAGGAGTTGAAGGAGACTGGATTTTGTTGACCCAGGACAGGGTCCAGTGGAGTGCTTTGGTTAATTCAGCGATGAACCTTCGTGTTCGGTAAGCCATCTAGTTAGTTAATTATTTATGTTCATCCTCAGTACCTAGAGGACATCTTCCTTCCTCATATCCATTACATCTCCCTCTCAGTTTCCAGATACCAGCCTCAAACCAAGTTAGCCGACTTACTTTTCTTGCTCCTTGTAAAACAAACTGTGTATTATTTTCTAACCCATTTATGTTTCACCTCACTATAAAACAGTGACTTATTTTCTCTGATGTTTGAAAACAGATTCTGTCAATCTACATCACTGCATATTTCTTTATTTTTTACAAATTACAGTCATTTTTCACCCTTAGGTTTTGCCAAATATATCCTAGTCCTATTTTACTTAACTTCTCACCTGACTATCAAATTCTAAATTCTTTACCTGCCATTCAAAGTATGCCCTTAATAGTTCTTTCTTGTCCATCTGTAGAGTTCTTTGCAAATATTTCACAGCAAAACAATATTTTGCCCCTCTTACCAGTGGTGAAGATGACGATGATGATCTCAAAGGCAGATCTTCAGCATGCGTACATGAAGTCACAACTCAGAAGAACACTTGTCATAATTACCTACAAACCACTGTGTAAGCCTTAAGATTTGTATAGCCCCAAAATCAATTCTACGTAAGACTTACTTTTCCATCCACTTTGTGTTCTTTACCCCAGGCTTCCATAACAAACGGATCATTCACGGAAACACAGACTATTTCCTTTATGCCTTTCTGTTTCAGTTCATCTGCCTTGCTTACATATCCTGGGAGATGAGTCTACACAAACAAGATGAAATACATTAAACAAAGCCCGCACAGAAAGTCAGCAAAAGCATAATCAACACAAAGAAACAACTATATAAATGCCATTGCACTTACAGTAAAATGGGAAGATCGATTATAAATGAAATAGGAGGAGGGTAATGAATTAAGTTTATAAAACATTCTGCATTATAAACTGTGCAAAATAAAATGTTACCACATACTAGGCGATAAATGCATTTACCTCCTGTAGAAATGAGCACCTGCACCTATAGCAACTGTACTGACGCACTAACCAATTTCTAACAAGACTAGTGCACGCTGTCTACTTTCTCCTTATTCTGAATAAATAAAACATTAATAATCAGGCCAGCAATCACATGCTGATGGCATTTCAGGATATTTTTCTATAAATAAATTGCATGTTCTTAGCACAGCGTTTCAAAACTAGTGTTGTTAAACGTCTGGTAACTGGAAAATGAGAAATTAAAAAGTCTGCCAGTGTGCGACATAATGCAATGCATCACTGAACACATTCACCTTGGAGCAGCCAGGCGTGAAGGCTCCGGGGACTGCAAAGATCACAACTTTCTTTCCCTTTGTCAGCTCTGAAAGATTGACCTTCTTGGTGGGGCTGTTCTCATACAGCTCCACACTCGGCAGTTTGTCACCAGCCTGGAACATGGACACATGAACTACTAAACTAACTGAGCTGCAAAACTAAATTATGGGGGCAGGAGAGGTTAGTCAATTAGTACAACTACATGTTCAATAGACTAAAAACTCGTAAATCTGAGAAGTAATTCTATAGGGCTGCATCATCATGTCCAAATTATACAGTGCTGATTGCATAATATGAACATACTCTATATAACAGGTTGGTCCAACAGCTCTCTTTCCTTGGGCCAAAAATGCTTTTGCTGTTGGACCTATGGGCCAAGAAACCCCTAACTGGCACAATTTTTAAAGACTGATACCCAATTATTAACTTTAACAATGCTTAAGAGAAACTACATATCACCTTACCACATGCTAAAATATAAATTTTATTTAAATTTTTACAAAGTATCTATTACTACAAAGTTAAAAGTCCCAAAGAAGCTCTTGAATCACTTTCTCCATTTAATTTTCAACCCATCTTCCCCAGCTGGTTTTCTTACACATTTGTACACCACTTGAAAATTATGGGAAGTCCAGATTATTTGAACATGTGCAGATTACATAATAAATACAGAACCAGCTCTGCCAAAGCATATAAACATATTACTTCAACATAAATTGATACTTCAAATAATCTGGGCAAACTAAATATTTATCCACTTTGCCCCATTCACCTCGCCTGGTAAATCACCATTACATGTAATAAGTTATAACTTCCAAAATAATGCACAACAAAAACCTGACCAGAAGTGTAGCTTTCATAACTTGCTGAAATAAATCTATGTAATTACAATCAAAATATTTTAACAAATATGCACTAAAACTAAATTATACCTTACATACTCCATGATAAATCATCACATAAAACCCCACATTTCCTCAGGGAGAATACACATGTCTGCACATACCATAACTGAACTGTAATGACATTTACTGTTGACTGCAAAAAATGGGCCTTCTTCACTTTGATCCGCAAAATAACAGAAGAGAAAACTTGTCCTGACGATAAGGAAAACAACCAAAATATCTACTTGTCTGCACAACTACCAACCAGCAAAAAACTTTCAAAATACAGTGGCAAGTGTATCGATGATGAATCGAACTACGGGCCTTCGTAACAACTACATGTGAGGCCGTATGTTTCGAACTTATTCGACGTTAAGCATGACACAATTCGACCATTTGATCTTGAACAATGTGCGCGATAAATTCGACTGTGGCGAAATTTTAAAACTTATTTCTGGTTCGTTTGTCACAATGCATGAATGTTAACACAGGCGCACTGTAAGATTCGAAGCAACACTGTAAGTAAACTTGTTACCATTTCCTTTTATTTTTCATTCAGCGTAAAGCGGATGAGAAACTGCAATCCGGAATCAAGTACAATTGACAGAATCTTGACGCATGACAAAAATCTACATAAATGTCTTGTTTGACTTTCATCGGATACAATGTAAAAGATTAATATTTATGAAAAATTACCTGAATCACCATTCTTGAAGTGGATGTAAGAAACGATCGCTCTACTATACTGCCACGAAAATGTTGAATACCTGACAAAATAACTCGACCTCCACCTTGAAACAACTGCATTGACAGTGCTTTCTCTTGACCTTCAAACAGAAAACGAATGTATGGTGTAACTAATGCAAGCAATGGTTACCGTATTTTACCAACATAACGAATCTATTTCTCACTGCTGGCAACATAGGCGGCATATTGCGTCACGGAACCACCTTCGTTCACGACAGGGGATAAGATCCCAATGGCGCATTTGGCAAATTTGCGTTGAAGGTTCTTAATGTTTATGGAATTAGCGTGGATACGAGAACGCGGCCGTAGATGGTGAAGGATATAACGAAACAGATTCTGAAATGAACAGGCCAGGCGAAATGTAGAATGATTGCAGGACGAATTCTGAGAACGAAATCACCCAGAGCGATTTAAGGCCACACCTCGGAAAAAGGTGAAAGGGAAGGAGCGTACATATCCGCAAGATACACTGCAGCTGCTCTCATGATATTTTCACAAACAAACTGTTGATCTCATTAGACACGTTCTCACCACCACTTACTTCCTCTACGATGGTTCCTTTAATGGCCAAAAAGACGGCGTCGCCATGGGATCTCAACTGGCCCTCGTAGTGGCTAACCAGCAGGCCTCAATTTCATCGAAAGATATGCCAGTCCGCTGGTGTAGGTACGTGGATGATGCGTTCGTTGTGTGGCCGCATAAGATTCAAGAATTTTTAAAACACCTTAATAGCATCCATCGGAACATAAAATTTGCAATGGAAGTGGAACAAAATAAAACGCTACCGTTCCTGGACGTTATGTTGAGCAGATTGGACGAGCCAATGGGACACGCGGTATACAGAAAAGCTGCACACATTGATCTGCCTACATTTTCATTCATACAATTGGAAGACATTACACTCTGTTACGGATAATTTCTCTCCTTGCATTCGGACCAATGCCATTAAATATATCTAATCACCCTTCCTTCAGATACTTTGTATCTTATTTCCCAAAATTAAAAACTTGTGGGTTTCTCATATAAATTTATGAAAAAGACTGAGAAGGCAGTGCTGTTATGATTGTCAGGAGCTCTTCCTCCAGCAGTGCTGACATATACACAACACTGAATACAGACTATGCACCAGAGAAATAAAACTCTATTGGCCTTGGATTATGTCTGGATGGAAGGTATGCTAAATCATACAGGCACTCACTTTTAACCATATATTTCCTTTATTTAAGTAGCAATGTTGAATTACCTCAACTATGTACAATATGTGTGATACTTATTTGCACGCATGTGTTTTCTTGCCCTTTCTATAAGTTATTTCTTCATTAGTCTGTCTATTACAATATATAACATTTCTCTTTTGTATTATATATAACATCAGTGAGACAAAAAGTAAGCATTTTAACGCAGCAGGCATCTAGATATTTGTTACTCACAACATTTTTCCTGGCTTGTGTGACTAACTGCACTTTAAGTGCATGTTGACAGAATGTATCATGTCCCACATATGAAAACTCATTTTTAACAAGCGAGTTTGCAAGAAAATGTTTAACTACATATGGCCAACAGTAACCACAAAACAGAGCCCCACAGTGACACAGATATCTTGCTTCACCCTACTACATAGAAGGTTCAACAGATGGCTTCTGAGCCTGGTACATCTGGAGGTGCCATCTGACTTCCAGACTGATTCCAATACAAGGAACAGGGAGAAGACAAAACAATGAATCAGTACATAAACTTAAGGATGCAAAAGCAATGTAGAATTATAGGAACATAGACTAAAATAAATAACATTATCACACTGGTTCAGGTTTCATGAAGAATTATGGCAGCAAAACTGTCGAGATGGGGGACGGATGTGAGTCGCAGGGCCTGCAACATTTTCAGGATCATGTGCATCCTGACCCATCTGATCAGTTTTTTCCCACCAGAACAAGTTTCAGTCTATACCAGACAGACTAGGTTAAATTACAAGCAATGTAGTCTTATCGTAAGTGTTTCATTTGCTGAGTACAACAGCTCAGATTCCATTTCAGACATTTCTAAAAATCAGCTAATATTTGTTCCTATGTATATTAACATGGAATTTTACTCAGTGTTTGCAACTTTTTAAGAAGACAACTGAATTTGTAAATGTTTTCTTCATGTTCCATTTAAACACATTTTAATTACACTACTTTCATATGTATACACCAAATTCAATGAGAATTCTGTACAATACATCCCACATGAGTCATAGGCTTCTTTAAACTACAAATGGCTGACATATTACACCAGTATCCCCTACAGTACCTGCTAAATGCAGAATATATGAACAGAAGTTGATTACATAAAATTCCACTCTGGTGATACCCAATAATTGCATTTGAATATCAAATCAACTTTCAGAGAACAATGTCAAATAAAATTTTAATGTTGTGATAATGATATTCCTCAATAATTACCAGTCAGTTTTACTGGCCTTTTAAGAGCATATACTTTAACAGATTTTTGAAGTCTCTAGACCATGGATTCAACACTTCAATCACTCTAGTGGGTATGATGTGTCCACACATCATGCACAAATTTTTGGGTAAGATGTTTGTACACATTAAGCTCAATCTTTTGCTTAGGCACAGCAGATGCTACAATTGTTGGCTTTGTCATGTACCATGCTCATTATCCCTTCCTCTTAATTCTGATATTGTAAAGAGGTTTTTGTCATCCTGAGTTTGTGCCCTTCCTTGTTAAAGGTCTGAATGAAGATGAATTAATGATGATAGTGATATCAGGTCTCCAGTAGAGATTGTAAAGTATGAAATAACAGTTTATATGGTGTGTGAAAGGGCATCAAGTTACATTTGTACCACTGATTTATAATGTGAGTTGGCTCAGTGGGGTTCCTGCTACAGACCTCTGATGAGAAAGATATAGTATTTATCAAGACAATTACTACAACGTCCAATTTACAGAAGCAATCTTGGGTAGAAACAAGTGGAACTATCAGTTAAAACTGTGGTCTCCTTCAGGACTTGGTTGAAGAATCTACTAAAATCAGGGCATGACACTTATTAACAGAAGAAAGATGTACTTGTCCTCAGCTCCTGGGACAAGTGACTGGTAAATGTGTTAACAACCCTCCCCAGAGCAGAAATTACAGATAACCTGAGTAAATGACAGGAACATTGAAAGCAAAGCCAAAGTGTGTAATGGATTTCCAAACCTTTACAGTGTAGATTCTGTTGACCAGTATCTTTCTTATTACCCTGTAAAATTAAAGATGATAAAGTGGCCAGAGTGTGTTCTTGTATCTTCTGAAGTGAGCTTTTCAGGTTTTTCCTAAACAACTCCAAACCCAAACTGTAATTCACACTGGCCATGACGCAATTCTTCTACCTCCGACACCTTGCCGCAGCAACAACCATATCACCGAAGGTAATAAATAAGCAGTATGACACTGCAGTGTGCCTAAGGAACTGACTTGTAAATTCATGCAAGTATTCTTTTTTTATTTAACTGTAAATCATAATGTGGGCAATTATTGCATTAATAATTTCTGTATCGAGATTGTCTACCAAGGCCAGAAAGTTAGGTTAGGCCATAATCATAACTTAAAAAAAGTTATGCTTTTATAGTAACATAAGCAGCACTTCTTTGAAAAGCTTTAAACGCGATGAATCTGCAGTCTGCCAAATTACTAGCAAGTATAAATAAAATTGTAACTCACAAAAAAATATTTCTCTGGAACTGAATAGTCCATCACTGAAGCTACATCATTCTCTACTGAATAAATGGCATGTGCCATTGTTGTTCAGAGGTAGGTCTTTATCAATTTCTGCCCTAAAAAGATTCTTTCGGCAGATACAGTAGTACTGTTTATCTGCATTAAGAACAGACTCAACCTTGAAGCAGTCATGCTGAAAGTCTTAAAAATGTTGCCCCTTACTGAAGCAATCTGCATGATAAACCATGAAATGATAAAAAAAAATACAAAAATGAGATGAAACATTAGAAAACTATAAAACTAAAGAAAAACTGAAAGTCAAACAGTGTTTCTATATCACATATTAGAACAGCTATGCGTCTGCACAGATGTTTACTCTCTTGGATAGTCAAGTCAATTTTATGCTGACATACAGTAACATGAAGACATAAAGATGGCTGTCTTCTGGGTTGTTGTGCTATGTAGTCTGGTATAAGTTTTCTGACATTTCAGAGGTCCTTGCTGCCTCCATCATCAGGGTGAAGAATATGCACCAGTAAACTTCTACCAAACTAAGCGGTACAACAACCTAACCTCAAATCCCACAATTATTCACAGTAGATTACAAATGTTTGGATATGCTTCACTGTCTTCACTGAACAATGAATTTAAACATATCCCTCATGTCAGAAATATGAGAAAGAACTTAATACTTGCTATTCTTCAAACAGTTTGTGACATTCAATGTCACTATCACCACCTATAAATATTACAGATTTCAATATTGGCATTTTTTCAGTTTTTACATTTCAAAACAAATCCAAACTTAACAAGTTCAGCAAATGATTCAAACTGGGTTTGTAAAGTTTTGTAATTTGGTTTGCCATTTAATTAAAATATTCTGTTCTGGAACAATTTTCTAAGTTTGCTATAGGTTCATCACCATTCTCAAAATCAAGCACCCCTTTTCTAAGAGTGCTTTTCTCCTCGAATGTCTATGGAATGTCATACTTACTATTCCCTGCAAATTAATGAGCCTCATTCAACACAGTTTCAAACCGTCAAATAATATTGTTCTAACCACGCACTTAATTGTCAGACAACTTATTCTATTCACACAGTCGTCCAGTCCACAGTCAGTCACTATACTGTCTGAGCTACCCAGCTCACCTGCTTTTTTGATACATGCTCTGTATTAATGTATCTCAATGACAGTCATCAGCTCAACATGATCTGCATTTCCAGTGCAATCCAACAGTATGGCAAAATAATTAAAATGTTTGATTTTGTTCTGTTGTCTCATTCAATTCACTAGCCATTTGCTCTATTAGTTCATTCTGTGTTCCATGTCTTAAAAATTTCAGATTTCATTTCTATGTATGCAGTGGAAATGTTCTCATTGCACTGGGTCATATTTTGATATAAGTTTCACCAAATCTATAAAACTTCCTGAATTTTTAGTTGAATCTAAAGATAATGTTTCCCTATATCCTCTGAACACTAACTTGTGTGATGCCAAACATTGTGTAATGCTCATCAATTATTCCAGTAAATCCTACCACTGTTTCTTTGCTTCCTGAATGCAGAGCTGGTTCTTGTAATCAAAGCCTTTACATTGGAGTAACTTTTGCTCTAATTCAAGCTATTTCTACATGACCTCTGATTTTTTCACATTTTCTACCATAGTACCTAAGTGTTTCCAGTCACAGCATAAATTCAAAATAACATATAATGCCAAAATAATCACCATGAAAAGCAATAAGCGCAGCTCCTCATTTTTAAGTACACCAACCACTGCTGGTTCCGTTTCTCACTATTTTTCAAAATTCTGTTCTAGTGAAAGGAACTAAAATGTCTGCTTTTGAGCGTTCCGCATAACTTAGTTCAGTGCAAATAGGCCCCTTGCATAATGCACTGCTGGGAATCTCTCAGTGTTATAATCCACTCGCCTGCTGCATCACAGCTAATATAAATTTTTTCAGGACAACAGTCGCAAGGTTCTGATTAAAGTTCAAGTTTCTTGCTGTCGCAAGATCATGATAATTTCTCAAGCATCTTGTGTTGGTCCTCCACAGGCACTTGTTACTCCTGCAGCTGCCCTACACTTGCACACAATTTTGTCATTAGAAGAATCACACTTAGTCACCACCCAATTTCATTTTCACCCAAATTTTTCTTACTTACAGTTGCATCATTTCTTTTTTAAAATATTAGAAGCAACCCAATTAATTCTGGATTAATTTGTTCCAATTCAGCTGTTCTTTTTTTATACATACACCAAATTCAAATTCTCTTCCTAAATCATGTTCCCATTTAACACTTGACATCACACTAAACACTACAAACACTGCCCTGTCCACAATATTGCTGCTTTCACAATTCAAAAGTGACAGAATTATCTTCTCCGCCAGTTTCTTGGCCCTACAACTATCACAAAGTATTTCAATTAAAAGCAGCAACTATCTTCAGAAAAGTACATCTTAATGCATATAATATTAACAAACAAACCCAAATAACAACACTGGTTAAACACTAAAATGTAAGACACTGTTCATAAAGACTAATAAAAGCTGCAAACTGCCAATTCCTCAGAAACACTAAAAGAAAAAGTGACATGTAACCGAACAGCACACAATCAATCTACAGTCAACAATAGCACTTTATGGAAGGCATTTACAAAATTGTCATTTACTCTCCACAGGCTTTTATTGAAAACTCTCAATTCCTTCTTCATTGATTTTACCTCAGATAAAAATACATGTCTAAGGCAAACTTCAGCAAGAGTATGAGGAGAGAAGGCAATTCTGACACATACAAGTACGGACGTGAGGCACTTGCAGGCCCTACAGCCACAAAGGCCTGGGCTGTCACTGACTTTACTGCTACTGCTCAGTGAGTCACACATTGTACATATATGCCCAGTGTGTAAAATGGAATACATACATGATTACATGAGTGGCAATGTTAGACCAAAGAAAATATGGGATGCTGCAAGGGACAACATTCTTCAGCCAGCATACTTGTCACAGAACATCTCAATTTCTGATAAAGACTTCATGACAGAGAATATGAAACATGCCATGACATGGACATAGTTCATGTAAATGAGATCAGCAGCAAAGATGATATCCTGCAACCAGTGCATTCTGGAGGACATGAAACATTCATAAAAGCAAAAGAAGAGCTACAAATCGCAGTGGCCAAAGTATACTGTCCTGTAACTATTCCTTGAGAAGAGGATGTAGAATATCCTGCATTTTCAAATACTTTTGGTGGCAGTAAATTAAACTCCCTTTGCTTAAAACATACCTTTGTTACTCAGAAGTTGCCATGCACTATGATCACTGTGCTGTAGAAAGGAGTGAGCTTCTACTTTTCATGCAAAAATGCTTATTAAAATGAAAGGAAATATTTCCACAAAAAACCACTGAGTAGTGGCGAGTCAATTACAGCAGAGAATATGATAATAACTTTGTACAAGGACTCATTCAACATGATACATAACGTGCACATGATGGCATATGAAACAGTGTGTCACAATGGCACCAGGAAAAGCTTAGTTTGTAAGCCATGGTTTGACAATTCAGGTTACCAACACTTTTCAACACTGTTCCTGTGGCTGAGACCCAGTGGCCAGAACTTCTAATAATCTGTAAGTGTTTAGCTGTATAATACAATAACTTGGTGCTGAACCCTCTGATGCACACGCACAAACTGGAGAGGGTACCCCTCCACCTCTACTTTGGGACGCACGTCACTGCTTGTCTCTGCTTGTGCACAGTGGCATATTACAGTCCTTGTCCTCATACAACCTGGCTGCTAACATTAAACTTTAAGCTTATTTGTACCTGGAACATTAACATATGCATTATAATTTGCTTCTCAACCAAATGAAGGATTCATTGCTGTTGATGGGACTGATGGATACAATTAAAGATAATGGATGCACTGAACTGCAGCTTCCTGCGTATCATCCCAATTTCAATCCTACTGAATTGGTTTGGGCAATCATGAAAGCATGATTATTTACTTAGGAGAGATTTCAGATGAAGACAAATTTTCAAGTTCATCTGAAGACAAGATAAGATGATAAAGCTAGTAAACCAACAAGAACTCTCACTACAGACTAGTCATCTGACGGGGGAGTGTGAAGCGATGATTATGGAACATTTTTGGATGATACCAAGATGCATGTAGCAAATATTGGAATTAAGACACCCAGTGGACACTGTTAAAGACAATTCAAGATTCAAAATTACAGAGACTACACAAATTATCTTTACACCTTTTATCTCAAATAAATAAACACAGAAATAAGACATACATAGGTTGTTCCACCTGACAGAGGAAGTCATGAATCTGTACTGAGTGAAATGCCAGTAGGTGTTACCACTACTCAGCTTGACGTGCATTATCATTACAATGTCAGATGTCACAGTTTCACTGCAGGAAAAGCTCAGTATGTCAAGTGATTTTTCATAAAAAGATTAGATACACAAGTTCTAAGTAACATTTGAACCTTCATAACATATAAGATGTAACCTACACAAGCTTGGTAAAAGTAGTTAAAAAGAGACATGAGACAACAGGGACATATAGTACAGTTGGGAGCAACTGCAAGCTCATGTGCTTTTACAAGATGGCATTCCACTACACTGGAGCTGTGTGAAAAATTCACCCCTCTGACTTTCTTTTATGTACACACAACAATAGTAAGAGCCGGGATAGCTCAGTCAGTATAGTGACTAGCTACGGGCTGGACGACCGGGGTTCGATCCCCGATGGGGGCAGGATTTTTCCTCTAGCCTCTGCGTCCAGACCGGCTCTGGGGCCCACCCAGCCTCCTCTACAATGGGTACCGGGGTCCTTTCCCGGGGGTAAAGCCGGCCGGGGCGTGATGCTGACCACTCACCCCCATCTAGTGCCGAGGTCACGGAAGAGAGGCGCTATACCTCCTCTCACCCCAAACGCCTACATGGCGTATAGTGGGACAAACTTTACTTTTTACACACAACAATAGTGGTCAACATACGAGACTTTAAGACAAGAATTGCTGCTTTTATGGAAACTGTCAACTTTGAAATGGTACAACAGACACAGAGAGACCAAATACCATTTTGACATTTTATGTGTAACAAATAATGCCCATATTGGATATGTAAGGTTTCAGTGTTACTTTATGATGTACTCAAATTAACCCGGTATGTGTATATCATTTTTGAAGTGTTTTATTTGAGTTTACAATTATAAAGATAATTTCTGTCCACTCTGTATCAAACACCATCAGATACAAACATAATTTTATGTAAAACAAAGTTATGTAAAACTGATTGTTTCAGGTACCAATGCCTGGTCATTTGATGACAAGGCCTGTAAGTTTATTTAATAAATATTGTCACAGTAACTAAGAACATGGAATACTCTCACTTTTATCAGACTGCACAGGATATAATGAAAGAAGTATGATCAGATCCATCACAGCAGGAAGAACATTATCCACCGAAATTTAAATTTGACTGCTGTGGCTTAGGTTCAAACAAGGAACACACTCAGATAAAATGCATTCACAGTCACCAATGAAGAATGTACTTATGCACAATGATGAGCTTCAGATCACAAGTTACAAGAACAATGACAAAGAGAATCTATTGATTGAACATTGGGAACTGAGCACTGAGCCATTTGTCTGTACTCCCACTGGTACATCAATTTTAGGGCTGTTAATCAATAATTTGTTACTGTTGCTTTTATCATTGTTGCCAGACACCTGGGCAATGCCCATGAAATGATGAGAAGGTTGTACTGCTGTTGTCCTTTTTTAATCATTAGCAGCGTCACTTCCTCTAGTGACAGTGTGTACCAGGAAGCTGGCCCTCCCCATTTATCAACAAGCGTAAGGGTATGAAATGTGACACAATCAAAATTACATCTATGAACCAAGGGGAACAGGAAACAGCAATCTGCTCAACTATCTACCAGCTACGACAACCTTACAGAAGTAATTTATCCACTTTTTCAAAATATTGTGGCAATCTCCAAGTAGACTATGATTCTCATCTTTCACTAAGTTAGTTCCATGTGATAGCCTTTTGTTCTAAACTCATTTCTGTCTCTTTAATGTTTCTTTGAAACTCATTATAAAAGTATCATCTATTTTTGAATATGGCTGTCTTCTAGGTTGTAGCATCATGTGCTGGCTCCATCACAGGGCGACGTGCAAACTACGTACGTGGAATCAGTTTGAGAAAAAGGAACCAGTCAGTCAAGGCACTGGCTGGACCAGCGGGAAGTAGGGTTAGGACTGGCAAGGGCCCAGGAGCCAGGGGCCAGGGGCTACCCTTTTCCTCAAACCGATTCCACATGCACGGCTTACCAATCATCCTGATGATGGAAGCAGCTAGGACGTCTAAAACATTAGTAAACTTCTCACAGACTACACAGCACTACAATCCAGAAAACAGCCATCTTCATACTCACCACCATGAGAACCTCAAATCCTATCGTCTTTTTTTGGTTTTTGGAGGTTCTAGTAGTTTCAGATCTCACATTGTTCTAGCATTCATTTGGTTTGAATTCTGCAACCAGTGCAATTTGATCTGCTTTCTTTGACACAATCATCCTGAGCACCCTTCAACAAACCATGGTTTATGCTACATTAACTCATATTAACTTACAAGCTACACCACAAGCTCTGTCGATGTACACATTTTCTTATTCGAGACTTTAACCTGGTACTTACAAATAACTTAATTAAATTCTGAGTTATTTAAATGTATAGAATTCAAGTTTTCAAATATCTAAATGCCCCTAAAGGAAATACAGCACTAAGTATGGAGAAGTGGACATTTACTCCAAACCAGTTTGAAAGAAATGAATGGTTGTGAGATTCTTCATTTCCTTATATTTCTGCTAATAAGAAATTTCAGTTCTAAATCCTGCAGCATACATATCATGGACCTAACACTACTTTATCACATGCCCATTAACAAAGGGTACTCAATTTGCCAAGATATGTGTTCACTTGTATGTCTGCTTGTGTGTGTGTATGTGTGTGTGTGTGTACACTCTATTCTGACTGTGTGGTAGAGACTGACTCTGCTAAAGCAACTGACCAGTGCCACATATACCTTACTGTAATAGCTGTAAGCACCACTGCCGTCTAAAGCTTAAAACTGTTACATCTACAAACAGCATATGCTTACTTCTTGCCTTACAAACAACAACTTTAACAACAAGATACATTATCTCACTAGTGGCCACTGCCAACATTATCCTGACAAAATTCTCTCATCTCACAACTTCTCACATCCTTTTCTTCATTCGATATGTCAACCGTAGCAGTTGACATTAATATGAGATCAGGTTCTAAGACGTTCTTGTCCTCGACGCTGCACATCACGTCAGTAGATGGTTGCAAGCCTTCCATTGAGACTGCAGAGTCACTGTCCAAACCACCACACTTCTTATCTTCATTGCAACTCAAGTCCAAACCATCAGAATGCACTTTCAACGCAAGCACCAGATCTTGTAAGATCTCAGTTTCCTTCAGCTCAATGAGCTGGAAGCGATGGTTAAACAGTGTCAGATGTGCAAAGACACAGTTCAGGTGCGCATGTAGATTTAGTAATACTACCTCCCGAAAGTGGCAGTGATACAGATGTGCCAACACATGGAACAGGAGACGCAGGATCTTGCGAACAATAGACTCGAACGAACTTGGAAACTCATTTGCTAAGAAGAAGAAAAAAAAACAAGCTTAGTTTAAGTATGAGTATCAAATAAATGTTTCCATTATGGCATAGTATGCCAACCTGTCCAACTTGCTAACAAGGACATGTCATCAGACTTATCTTAAATATCTCCATATTTTAATTTTGTGCTCTGATGTGTGAGTTTTTTGGACGAACTGTAGAATAATTTGCTAAAATAATATTGAGTAACACATTTGCATCTGCTAAATGCTGCTGATGATGAAAGCAGTTAGTATGTACTGATTTATGAAATGTCTGTGCCAGGTACAAGCACCAGCCTTAATATGGTCACCCCAGCCTAAACAAGAAAGTTTTGTTGACAACATCAACCTAGGACATCATGTTGTTAACCCGCCTTTCTTCAGCCATGAAGATGGAGACATGTTCCTCCAAAATGCTTGTTAATAACCAGAAGACTTGAATGCAGACTAATCCATTAAGCCCTATCTTAACTCACAATACCACTTTTTATTGCTTATACTGCATTGGTTTACTTCAGACAATGTCCAACATAACTGTGCACACAACTAAACAACTGATGTCACAAATCCCCAGTGAACTGAATGGGCCCACATACTCACCATACTTAGTAGGGAAGATAGACTCATCGCTGATGGTCTTCTGCGTAAATGTCATCACATAGTCTATGTACTGGGGGGCAGCAACCCGCGTCTTCTTGCCCTTATCATCAAACCACAGGTAAGTCCTGAAACATATACATCACACTGTCCCAGACCTGTTACAAAAAACACCATAATTATTCTAGGATAGAAACAAACTGGTGAATAGCTGTTTGCTATAGTGCAGTCAAGTTTAAGCAGAGCTTGCAACACTGTAAGCTTGTGGCTCTGTATCTCTGGGTGTTACAAACCTAACATCCTATTTCAATGGCGAAGTAAGTAGTCACTGCTGACTGATGCAGAGTCCCAGAATCTCAGATCCAACAACAAATCCATAATATCAAGTACAAAATTACATAATTTGTAAGTAATCACAAGGTGTGTCCAGTGACGAGGCCAAACACCATGCCACCAGAGGTCACAGCAATTCCCACATACTGGTCATGCAAATTTTCAGCTGTGGTAAACACTTGAATCACTTTTGTGCACAAAAAACTTCCCTCCCCTAAAAGTACAAATTGTCTAAATCAGTGGTATTCAACCTGGTACAGTACCCCCGGGGGTATGCGAAGACACCTTATAGGGTACGTGAAATTTAAAAATATATATATTATTTTATGATAAACACTGAATAATCAGTAATGTAATTTATTTAATTTATTTTAGATGTAGATTATATACTATGTATAACTTGAAATATACACCAACAACTTTGGGGGTTCAAAGTTGAAGAGAAATTATATCTGGGGGGTAAGCGAACAAAAAAGTTGAATACCACTGGTCTAAATCATACACACAATCACGTTAGTAACAGTTGCTTCTCAATTCTGCATCACATCTAGAGATAGCTATAATATGTTATAAAGCATCAGCAAACATCCACACACAACAATAATACATCAGAGAATTTCTGTACGTACAAGATTATATGTACTAAAATGCAACTTCATGGCACACTGAAATATCTTGGCTGGGGTGGTAACCTATACCGCCCCCTAGCTGCCAATTCTGCATTTATGTGATCTCGGGGGAGCTTCAAACTATGCATCCCATTAAGTAGTAACCTACCTCAGTCCTGGGCCTGTCATATCTGGGCATCCCGACATGGTGCAGAATTCAGAGATGGTTCCATATACCAGGTTGATATGGTCAAAAAATGCAATTGCTGAAAGCAAAAACCAAAAAAAATTACATGGAAAATATTTAAATAACATGTTTCAAATAATCAGATAGTGGAAAAAGTGCAGAATACACAACAACAAAATTCAAGCACATGACAAGTAATATTTTAACTACTCAATGATTTTTTTTTTTATTTCCCCGATGACACAACAATTACTTTTTGTAGGTATAACTTCCAGTTATATACTAGGATTCAAACTGTTTGGTGAGTGCCAATGGTAAGTTACCACTGACATGCTTGCAGTAGTACCAATCTTAGACAACATCTGAGCCACAGACATAAAGACATTGGTGTCTGTATCCTAATTCAATTCAATTACACAGACTTAATGCATATTAATCATACATACCATGATACTGAAATTCTTAGAACCATAGAAACAGATTACCATTCTCAAACCTCATATCTTCTACAAAATTTCTTAGTCATAACCATGTTGGACAGTGTCCATTTATGAGGTATATTGTTAGTTTTCTTCAGGCAACTGATTTCTATTATACTGAAAATTATTGTTATTGATTTTTCATTTAAATAAGAGTGGTAACAGCTGTGATCAAACTACCTGACTGACAAAGACTTTCAGTACAACATTTTGAACATTGTGTGCCCAGATTGCAGCAGCAAACTGCCCCTGTTTAAAGTCTGCTAAACACTGCTTTCTCAGAAAACCAAGTCAAATTACTTCCCAGCAAGAGATAAAATGAATCCTCACCTCTTCAGCCATTTCACCAATTGCCAACCTTCTACCATTTCACTCTAAATCACACACTACAGCTACCAGTTCAATCACTGACTCTACTGACCAAAGCAAATTCAGGATGCAGGTCGCTTCTGATGGACATTCATCCATCTTCAAAATGACAGAACCAGTGAATCCTCATGCACAGCTCATTGTTGCATCTCCAAACACAATTTGCACCCACTGGCCATTTTGTTTACAACTTTCTCACAAACATCAACGTAGTACATGCATTATTAAACTGACACATGACAAAAACACTTTGAAGTTACATGCGCAACACAGAGGACTGAAGCGATGGAATGGATTATAAACATGCTGGGACATAACATGTCCATCACATCCACATCTACACACAGTGCAAATTATCTGATATATGAAATCAGTCTTGATATTTTTAGCCAGACCTAGAATGCCATGGTTTGGTTTTCATGAAGTTAATTCTATTGAGAACTGAGAAAGCAAACTTACTATGTGATGCTAACCACTCGTTGTAATCCAAGCCAGCTGGCAGGTCTACCAACACTCGCAGGTCAATATCAGGTAATTTGCGCTCCAACACAGCTTCTTCCAGGTACAACTTTTTTTTTTATTTCCCCGATGACACAACAATTACTTTTTGTAGGTATAACTTCCAGTTATATACTAGGATTCAAACTGTTTGGTGAGTGCCAATGGTAAGTTACCACTGACATGCTTGCAGTAGTACCAATCTTAGACAACATCTGAGCCACAGACATAAAGACATTGGTGTCTGTATCCTAATTCAATTCAATTACACAGACTTAATGCATATTAATCATACATACCATGATACTGAAATTCTTAGAACCATAGAAACAGATTACCATTCTCAAACCTCATATCTTCTACAAAATTTCTTAGTCATAACCATGTTGGACAGTGTCCATTTATGAGGTATATTGTTAGTTTTCTTCAGGCAACTGATTTCTATTATACTGAAAATTATTGTTATTGATTTTTCATTTAAATAAGAGTGGTAACAGCTGTGATCAAACTACCTGACTGACAAAGACTTTCAGTACAACATTTTGAACATTGTGTGCCCAGATTGCAGCAGCAAACTGCCCCTGTTTAAAGTTTGCTAAACACGGTGCAGCAGCAAACTGCCCCTGTTTAAAGTCTGCTAAACACTGCTTTCTCAGAAAACCAAGTCAAATTACTTCCCAGCAAGAGATAAAATGAATCCTCACCTCTTCAGCCATTTCACCAATTGCCAACCTTCTACCATTTCACTCTAAATCACACACTACAGCTACCAGTTCAATCACTGACTCTACTGACCAAAGCAAATTCAGGATGCAGGTCGCTTCTGATGGACATTCATCCATCTTCAAAATGACAGAACCAGTGAATCCTCATGCACAGCTCATTGTTGCATCTCCAAACACAATTTGCACCCACTGGCCATTTTGTTTACAACTTTCTCACAACAATTTGCACCCACTGGCCATTTTGTTTCCAACTTTCTCACAAACATCAACCAGACCACTAACTCAGCCCTTTTCAGGGCCCTGATCCATACAACTAAACTCACCTTTCTCTCTCTACTTTCTCTCCCTCTCCCACTCTCGCCCACGTGCTACCATTGGTCCACTCCCATACCTGCTCCCATTGGCTCGGGGCAGGCTACACCTTTCACTTCCCTACCTATAAATCCAACTCCTCACACCCTATTGGTATATTCATCGCCCTGATGACGGAGGCAGTATGACCTCTGAAACGTTGGTTAACATCGACCAGACTACACAGTGCAATAACCCAGAAGACAGAAATCTTCATACTCACCGCTGTGAGAACCTCAAGTCTTACATCAACGTAGTACATGCATTATTAAACTGACACATGACAAAAACACTTTGAAGTTACATGCGCAACACAGAGGACTGAAGCGATGGAATGGATTATAAACATGCTGGGACATAACATGTCCATCACATCCACATCTACACACAGTGCAAATTATCTGATATATGAAATCAGTCTTGATATTTTTAGCCAGACCTAGAATGCCATGGTTTGGTTTTCATGAAGTTAATTCTATTGAGAACTGAGAAAGCAAACTTACTATGTGATGCTAACCACTCGTTGTAATCCAAGCCAGCTGGCAGGTCTACCAACACTCGCAGGTCAATATCAGGTAATTTGCGCTCCAACACAGCTTCTTCCAGGTACAACTTTGGATCATCAGAGCACGGAGTTGACGGTTCTCTATCTTTCCGACGAGCTTTCCTGAAATCAGGCATAGAAGAAGAGTCCATTCAAACAAGAGCACTGCTCTTTTGACAGCAGGAAGTACATCAAGCAAACTAGTGGTTTGGTTCATACATTTAATTAAATATGCACAGGCCAGTAAACACCTGCATAACCTAAATAAGACACCACACTGCACCACAATAACTGAATCGTTCCCTGTGCTCTGTCAACAAGTCCTAATGTTAATCAATTTTTTTTTACAATACTATGACTGCTGATTGCTCTCTCCATGTGCTCCAAGAAGAATTTCTTCTGTTTCTACAAGGAAAAAAGTCAATGTCTAAGAAATATTTTTTAACAGGATGGGGCTAGGTGACACACTGTGACTGCAGTGTAGGATCAGCTCACTGAGAATTTTCCCTTGATGTATCTTCCTGAATGTCATACTGTAAAGTGTGGCAGGTGAACTCTCATCCTTGGGTACTTCATGTCCATTTCAAAGACAGAAATACACAGCAGGGATCAGTAGCTCAGGCCGACAAAGGGGCGGTTCATTCTTATGGGGTTTTCTGAAAGACACAGTTTAAAAAACAATCCACACACAATGAAGAAAATGAGAATAGAAATTTTGGCAGCAGTGATCAGCATCAGTGAGGAACGTTGGGCTGCAGATGTGTTAAATTTATGATGTCACTGCAGATGGCCTTGGACACTAATGACCCACACATTTAAAACGTTCTTAAGTGATTGTGAACCTTCCAAGACTATGGATCTCAGAGACAGAAAATACAGTGATGTTCAATATGTGTGTGTGTTCAGGGGCGCGTTAGCTCGTATTGCTATTTGCACCTGTATGCACTTGGAGGCGGACAAGCATCGATGGCATCATAGAAACTTGCATGCGCATGAAGCCGGACACCAAACTATGATCAAATATAACTAACCATCGGTAAATGACAGCAAGAGTAACCATACAGAAATCTCACATAGAGGCCTTGACATTAGGCTTCAAAATAAAACAATCTTGTTAGCGAATCATAGGTGTGTTTGATTGAAATTAAATTTGCCAAAAAATCGATACTGAAATTGGTCCAACCACCATATTCGCCATATTTGGCACAGTGCGACTTCTAGCTATTCCAAAAACTGAAGACAGCTATCTAGGGCCACAGATTTTCAGACACTGCCGACATTCTGGGACATGCGACGACCATCCTGAAGAGGAGTTCCAGAAATGTTTTAAGCAGTGGTAACATCGACTCACTATGTGTATAGGTGCTCAAGGAGACTACTTCGAAGGTGAGAGTAACGATTAGTGTGTAGGCAATTAAATGCAGCTCTTTCTATGGGGGCATACCGGGAACATAACTGTCGCACCTAGTAAAACGTTAGCTTAGCTGTAATGGGCAAAGGGGGAAGAAAGGATTATAGCAAAGGGCTGCGAACTTCTGCCGCATGCGCTCTAGTTTGTTGGCATTGGAAGTTGCAATATTAATACAAACTCTGTCAGAACGGAAAATCGTGTAACCGTAAGGAAACAAACTGTGGTCGTAACACAAGTCTCAGTTAAGCATATTATATTGTGATCCAAGGACCAGACGTTATCATACAGTTCAAGTTGCTCGGTCCTGAGACCTCTGACGTTTTGATAACAAATTACCAAAATAATCTACTGGCTGTGTGTTTGTTATACACGGATCAACCACCTGTGTTTACATCACAGATATTAGCCATTAACTAAGTGCAGCAGCCCCCATTCTTCTGCGGTCCATCGCATTTTCCAGAACCACGTAGTGGGTCTAATGCTGAGACCCCTGCACCAGGGGAAGAAGGACGAGATGAAACGGATGCAGCAGAATAAATTTGGCCCGGATTAAGTAGTCCAAAATACAGGGGCGATTAAACAGCCACTAGGTCAAACGCCGTTATTATTGGCAAGTCATCGTCGACAAGTGAAATAAAGCATACGAACTACATTTTGTTTTTAACCTGGTGCAGGTAAGAGAGGTAAGTTTCAGTTGCTCTTTTAAAGATTTTTCAATGTCTGCAGAAGTCACGTCTGGAGAGAAATGCGGGACAAAAAGTGACTTGGTTCTCACTCTTTTCGCCATAACAGAGAGCGAGAAAGACCTCCTCAGTCCAATCATTTCTTGAAGGAGGTAGCAGCGAGCCAGATAATTCCAACCTTCCTCTTCCTAGCAACAGAGACAAAGCCGTCATCAGCGGACTCGGGCAGCAGAGTTGAAGTAACGGAAAGTCCAGGTCCCTCGGTCTGCTCACTCAGAATGCATTCCATTTACGGCGGTCTTGGGCGGCACAGTGGCAGCAGGAAGAGAGAGAGGCGCGGCCGATGGACCCTCGAACACGACCAGGCGACAGCGCATCCTTGTACGTTTTCGGTACATTGACCATGACAAAGCTGCCGATGAGGTCACGTCCCGCCGTGGCAATAATTCCTGCACGCATGACAGACTAGGTCGTCCAGCCGTATAAATGTTTTCCATTTTCGTCTTCACAGATTCGATTTCTCTGCCTAACTGGCAGACTTCCTCCGATAGTTTTAGAACCATTTCAACAGGCTTATCGTTCATACTATCGGTGTGGACAACATTTAATCGAACAGCCTCCAAGCTGCTCACTTTCAGTTCAGGAAGACTAATTTCCCTGGCAGGTCACGCAATTTTCCCAGCAATTTCAGAAGCCGGTGCAGATCTGAATGAGAGAACGAAGAGCAGTGTTTCCAGACCTCAGTGTCCGCAACTTCATGAAGTCTCAGACTTCGATGCTGAATCGCCGTTTGCAGTTTTCAAGGAATACTCGACATCGGTCACTCCTCCGATGGAAAAATGAAACCTCATAGAGCAAGGTCAACTACAGCGCAAAGACATCTCCTCCCACAGAAAGCCTTTTAACACATATCGACGGTGTTATCGTGTCGATCTGACAGTCCGCGACACGTTTCGATCTTTGCGGTGTTCCATCGTCCTCCAGACATCCGGAACCTGTCACCGCGTGGCTTACAGTTTCTGCTCCCTCAGAAAAGCGTCAGAGAGCCATACGTTCGGGTCGGATGAAGACGTCAAAGCCGCGACGGTGCAATGGTTCCAGCAGCAACTCAAGAAAACGTTGCGCACGGGACATATCGGCTGGAGAATAAATTTCATCTGCATTCAACAGCGTTCAGCGTTGAACAATACCCGAAAGAATTTAATCTGAACGAGTCTCACACATTGGACAATACGTGAAACGAATGTCGAATGCCTGTTGGCGTCGATATTAATATTCTGTAAAAATTGCATATGCCCGCTGTGTATTTCATAAATTTCGTGTACACAGACGGTTACACAATTGGAGAAATCTTAATAATTACTGAATTTAATCATACCCATGTTGAAGAAAACGTGTCGGGCTAAAATGCGTTTCGATATACCGAAATGTGTTCTGCACTGTCATTTCAAAGTAATACTACAGAAATCACAGATAAATATTACTGAGGAATGATTACAACTAAAAAATGCTTGAAGATCACTTAAATTATAATAAATAAATCGACGAATGATTTTCTTTGTTATTTCCACAGCATTCCGTTAGACAACTGCACGCATTTTATCCAAAAACAGTCTCATTTTAATTACTGCCTTCTCATTCATAAGAAAGTATGATTTAAACAAGGTTAAGTAGTATTCGTCAGCGCTCCCGAAATAAATAAGTCAATACGCGCTGGCACGGCACGGCATGGCGACCCGCGTGGTGCCAAAAAGCCCAAAAACGCGCAGCCCTGACTATAGATAGTCCCCTCATGCAAAGTTCAGTCACACGAAGTAGCACGATCTCACTTTCCCTGTGACTCACTGCGATTACATCCGCAAATTTTCGTCATGTGACGACGACCTCGATTACAAAGTCAGGTGAAACTGCGCTTCAGGAATCCTGAGTCAAGCGGCGTTCAGTATAACAACGCAGGCAGCAAAAACACGGACACTAAATACTACGTTCTGCTTTCGACACATAAACAGTGGCTGTTTCTTGCAACCATTCAACCAGACGTTCTCTTACCAACTACATGAAATTAATGTTCTGCTGTGCCTGTGGCCTATCCTAAGGTGGGTTACCATCCCAGACACCTCAACAGAACAGCCGCGTAAACCCTGAGTCAGCCACCACCAAGTACCATTTGATCGACATGTCCTCTCCGTCACTCAATACTGGCACATGCGTAAGACGTGATGTCAACCGCGTGTCAGCAGCCCAGACAATAGAGAACTGACGACGAAACATGCCCCAGAACTGGAATATTCATTTCTTACGATTCCGACCTTACTTCCCCCTTCTTTGTCTCCTCAAAGAATCGCTTTGGTTGCTTTTGCAGTTTCCAGAAAGTGAGCTCCTACCTGCTGTGGCAGCTGCTTCCTATCAGTTCTTTCCCCCCTCTTTAACAATTCACGGGCATAGCCGTCTCGCAAAATCTTCCAGGTTCGTTGAAAACGTGAAGCTGGAATAGAAATAAAATGACATTGAATTTATTTGTGAACGCGATCCAAACAATTCAATTTCTCTTTTAAAAGAGTCCGACGCTCCGCCCGCAAGGTTGAAGTCCACCGAGACGATAACTGGAGGAAACCATGGAACCGCAGCCTAAACGCACTGCAAGTAAAACGCGCTCGCCTTACAGGAGACATTGGAGCCACTCGTCGCTTGGCATGAGTTCCCAAAACGACTTCTAGAGCCTCTTCACGCGCTGACATTCTTGAGAACGTGCAAAACCTTTCTTCGGAAGTTTTTCAACCGTCACAGAACACAGTCCGTGAACTCTTTTTGTCGCTATGCGGTTCACCAGACAAGCGTTTACGGACTTAGTTCTGAAAACAAAAGAATGCCCACAACTGTCTCCAAAAACACTTCTCTCAAATCTTCCTGGCGGCATCAGTTTCTTCAGGCATGCACGAGTTTTTGGCAGAAAAAAGATGCACCGGCGATCTTCATCTGCTGCCAGTTGCATACTGCTTCTGATACTTCAGAATCGCGGGCTATGAGAC